ATCATCTCCCAATTTCTGTGAGTCAGGAATTCAGGTCTGGCCTGGGGTTTTAGGTTACAGTTATTAGAGCTTCACTCAACATGGAAGACTCCCTTGTGGTTCCGACATTTCTGATGAGTCAGGGCTGTTATGGCGACTTAGCACTTGCTCAGGAGGTGTTTCCCCAGTTGCTTGTGTATCCTCATGTCTCAGAGACTGGCCTATCCTACAGAGTGTGTTTGAAGAGACAAGGCGGAAGCTGTAATGCCTACCATGGCATCACATCCTGTTACCTTTGTTCCAGTCTATTCACAGAGATTAGCCCTGATTCAGTTATGAGAAGGGATTACGTAAGATAACGCATGCCTGGAAAAAAGGGTCACTAAACTACCTTGGCAGCATTTTTTCTCATACCTTTTTTTTTTTCCTTTTTGTTTTTTTGAGACAGGGTTTCTCTGTGTAGCTTTCTCTCATATCTTTAGGATGATTTTAAATAATTACCCAGGGGCAGGGAACCCATCTATGAATAGCAGTCTTTTACATTGGTTCAATTTATTTCCTTATCTACAAGTACACCCTATATATATATATATGCACACCCTATGTATATTATTACTCTCAGTTCAAAGTTTATTTCCTCTTAGGATATATATTTAAGTGTTTAACTTTAAAGTAAAAAAAAAAACAACCACATTTAATAAATGGAGCTGTCAGTGGTTAAAGTTTTAAACTATAAATTGAGTTTAATATAGGTTAGCATCCATTTACTTTTTTTTTTTTTTTTTTTTTTTTTTGCCGTTGTTTTTTGAGACAGGGTTTCTCTGCCTGTCCTGGAAATCACTCTGTAGACCAGGCTGGCCTCGAACTCAGAGATGCTCCTGCCTCTCTAGTGCTGGGATTAAAGGCTGGCATGGGTACTGGTTCCGCTGCTGCTGCTGCTGCCGCCGCCGCCGCCGCCGCCGCCGCCACCACCACCATCACTGCCACTACCACGGCCACGGCCACTGCCGCCATCGCCACCACCGCCCAGTTTGGCTATCCATTTACTTTTTAGTAAGTCTCAGAAGATTGTCTTTCAAGGAATTTTTCCAGGGCCACGTGTAGTGGTACATACCTGTAGTCCCAGCTACTTGGGAGACTGAGGAATGAGAAGCATTTGATCCTATCAGTTGAAGACAGCAGTAGGTAGAAAGAGAAGCTTTGATCCTATCAGTTGAAGATAGCAGTAGGTAATATGAGAGGCTTTGATCCTATCAGTACAAGATCACAGTAGGTAATATTGAGAGACCTCTTCTAAGAAAAACAGTTTTTAGGCATGGTAGTGCACGTCTTTTATCCTTACGCTTTCTAGGTAGCGGCAGGTGGATCTCTGAGTTAGAGGCCACTCTGGTTTACAAAGCAAGTTCCAGGACAGCCAGAGAAACCCTGTCTTGAAAAACCAACAAAGAAAAACTGAGCTGGGAGATAGTGGCGCACACCTTTAATCCCAGTGCTCAGGAGGCAGAAGCAGGTAGATTTCTGTGAGTTCGAGGCCAGACTGGTCTACAGGCTCCAAAGCTACACAGAGAAACCCTGTCTCCAAAAAAAAAAAAAAAAAAAAAAAAAATTATTTTGTACTGTTAGTTAAGGAGTAAAGCTGTTTACAGTATCATTCCCCCAGTTTCCTTCTTTGATTTTTCGAGACAGGGTTTCTCTGTGTAATAGCTCTGGCTGTCCTGCTGTCCTGGAATTTGATTTGTAGACCAGGCTGGCCTCGAACTCGCAGAGATCCGCCTGCTTCTGCCTCCGAGTGCTGGGATTAAAGGCGTGTGCCACCCCTGCTCCCCTCAGACTAGTCTTGAAAGCCAAGGATGACCTTGAATTTCTGAAGTTCTCCCAGATTGCTAGGTTAACAGGTTTGCTGACATCCCATTTGGTTAATATGAGGCTGGAACTTGAACCCAGGGCCTCAGGCATGCTAGACACACTTTACCAAATACATTCCCTGCTTCTTAACTTTTAAATTTGTTAAAAAACATTTACTTCCTTGTGTATGTGCAGAGACCACAAAAGGTCAAGTGTCGTCCTCTACCTTTCTCACTGTTCCTCTGAGGCAGGGTTTCTTCCTGCACCTGAGGCAGAATCTTAGCTAGGCTGGAAGCCAGCAGGCCCCTGTGAGGCCTCTATATCTTTATCCTCCCCAAAGCTTAGAGGACCACAGGAGGTTTGTCATGTGGAAGCCAGGATCAGAACTCCAATCCTCATGACTGCTGAAAGCTCTCTCAGCTGCCGAGCTATCTCTCCAGCTCCTCTATTTGATTTTGAATTTATTAATCTACTTTTGAAATAGGGTCTTATTATGGAGCCCTGGCTGTCCTGGAACTCACTAAGCAGACCAGGTTAGTCTTGAACTCAGAGATCCAACTGCCTCTGCCTCCGAATGCTGGGATCAAACAAAGGCGTGCGCCACCATACCTGTCCTTAATTTGATGTTTATTTTCTTCTTCTGCTTATTCAGGGGTTTGTTTTATTTTCCTAACTGCTAAAGTTACAAACATTTGTTTCAGATATTCCCCCTCCCCTAAAGTTATAGCCAGGTAAGGCTGCTCACACATCTTTCATCCTGACACTTAGGAGGGTGAGTCCCTGTATCAAAAATTAACAGTAACAACAAAAGCCAAAGTGAAATTTAGGGTTATGTTTCCCCAAAGTACTGCTTTAGAGACATTCAACAAATACTGATGTATTTAGTTTCCATCCTCATTAGTTAAAATAACTTTCAAAGCTGGGTGTAGTGCTGAATGTTGTTAATGTGAACACTTGATAGGCTGAAAGATGTAGAGTGTGAGGATAGACAAGGCTACACAGTGAGACCCTGCCTCCAAAAAACCTGACCACTTTATTTAACAATTGACCTTGTCTATTCCTTCTTATATTCTTTTTCTGACATCTAATTTGACATGATATAGTTTGAATTCTTGATCCTCTTGCCTCCATCTCCAGAGTGCTGGGATTATTACAGGCTTGCCCCAGACAAACATTTTTAATCCTAGCACTCAGGAGGCAAGGGCAGAAGGATCTCTCTGAGTTGGAGGTCAGCCTGATCTACATAGTGAGATCTTGTCTCAAAAACAAACAAACAAAAAACAAAACAAACCCCAAAAGCCACAAAACAAAAATAAGCATATAGCATCATGCCCATTTGGTTAATTTATGTACTGCTAAGAATCGAACCCAGACCTTCCAGCATGTTAGGCAAACACTCAGCCAGTTGAGCTACATCCTCTGCCCCCAAATCAAGATTGTTGAACTAATTATATCTCTTTTCTAAAAAGTTTAAGGCCACAGAATTATGTGGCTAAACCTCACATTATAGTACATTACTTTTTAAAATATTGCACAGTATTTCCCTAACCCTGTTAGATTTAAACTGTGTACATGTTATGCCAATATAGCAGCTTATCCCTAGTTATTCATACTCATGAAGTCACATGGGATCGGTTACCATACAACCTGTCACACGTTTTGCCTAGCGTTCACCAGACTGAGGGTTCGGATTGGAAAAAAAAATATAAAATGCAAAGTTTATGAAAGCTTATGTGTCTATGTGTAGGCCAGAGGTCAATGTCACACATTGTACTCAATTGCTCTGCTCTCCACCTCATGTAGGACAGTGTCTCACTGAATCTGGAGCTCACTGACTAGGTTGGCCCCCCTATGAGCTCCATGGATCTGCCCACCTCAGTCCCTTCCATTTTACTGACTGAGACACTGCTCTCACCCTTAAAAAAAGCAATCTTGTAAATATAAAGTGAGCAGGGGTAGGAGAGATGGTTCAGCAGTTAAGCACACTCTTGCAGAAAATCTGAGTTCAGCTCTAAGCATCCACATCCACAGCTCACAACTGCCTGCCTCCCTGGGCTCCCACACAGATGTAGGGCAGATAGACCTAGAAAGAGGCAGACCCACTAAAAGAAAAAGAATGCCAGGTGTGGTGGCCCAGCAATGAGGTGGAGGAGGGGGGTAAGAAGTCCAAAGTCACCCTCAACTACCTAGGGAATTAGATGCCAGCCTGGGTTATATGACACCGTGTCTCAAAAAACCAACCAAGAGCTCTCCTGAGATGTTTGGTTCTTCAGTCAAGACTCCAGCATGACATCAGTTGTACCAGTGAAGACAAAACTCATGGATGCTGAGCTGGGAGACATGCCAAGCTGGGTGGTGACTTTATCCAAAAGGCAAGCCCTGGAGTACTAGGGCTGTGCCCAATATTACCAATCCAGCAACACGAGGAAAGAGCACAGCTGGGGTCATCACCGTGCCGGCACCCACGTGCTCTTCAGTTGCTGGCTTGCTTTCTTTTCTTTTTTTTCTTTCTTTCTTTCTTTCTTTCCAAGACAGAGGTTCTGTGTGTAGTTTTGGTGCCGGTCCTGGAACTCACTCTGTAGACCAGGCTGGCCGCGAACTCACAGAGATCCACCTGGCTCTGCCTCCCAGAGTGCTTGGCTTAAAGGTGTGAACCACCACCGCCCGGCTAGTTGCTGTCTTTCTTATGTGCAGGTTGCAGGAAGGGCCAGTACAGAGGACTCTCTGCAATCCTGAATATGACCAAATGCTCAGTTCCATCTATGAAGAATTCAACTATGGCTGAATCTTCATAACATGACAAAGAACTAACGTCTAATAAAAAGTGACTGGTACATGTAGAAAAACACAGACGACAAAAAAAAAAAAAGGACCCAAGAAACCAGAAGGAAATGAATGATAAGCAAAGGAACAACCTTAACATGGAGCTGGAGAGGTGGCTCAGCAGTCATGAGCACTTGCTGCCTTTGCCCAAGGCCCAGGTATGATTCCCAGCACCCACACAGCAGTTTCCAACTGCCTACAGCTCCAGCCACAGGGGTCTGAGGAGGTATGGGGGTCTGATGCCCTCTTCTGGTCTCCGCATGCTCTCACACAAATGTGATGCACATCAACACACATATAAACAAGTAAATCTTAAACAAAAAACAAAGAAACATAAAGACTTGAAACTTGCATCATTTCAATGTACTGTATTAGGTTCCTTGAATTTATATATTCAGGACAGAAAAATCAGAATAATTTTCTGAGCACAAACATAAAAATAGAACACATTTATTAACAGTAGGAAAGCTATACTTAAAATAACAATGTATCAAATCTCACTGTTGCTCGAATTCCTAAAGGTCTTATAATAAAAAACCTGGAGCCAGATATTGGGGTAAATGCTGAAAGATCAGAGAGACAAAGGAACAAGCCACAGCTACTTCTCACCTCGCCAACTCCACGAATCTTCTGACTGAATGTCTGAGTCCTCAGCCAAAAGGGCTCCAGCTGAAAGGGTCTTCGGCTGAAGAAGCCTTTAGTTCCTGTCTCCTCACGCCTTATATACTTTTCTCCGCCCTTTTACTTCCTTCCTAGTGCTGGGATCAAAGGCGTGTGATTCCCAAGTACTGGGATTATAGGTGTACCACCACTGCCTGGCTCTGTTTTCTCTCCTAGACTGAGTATCTTATGTAGTTCAGGGTGGCTTTGAACTCTTAAGAGATCCAGAAAGACCTCTGCTTCCCAAGTGCGAAGATTAAAGGTATGTGCCACCACTGCCTGGCCTCTGTGTTTAATCAAGTGGCCTGTTCTGTTCTCTGATCTTCAGACAAATTGTATTAGGGTACACAATCTATCATCACATCTCACATAATAAACACAGCAAAAAGAGCAACTTCTTACTTGATATTCTGATGCAGTCCCTTCAAAGCCTGTCCTACACACCTTAATACATACCCACATAAGGCATTCATTTCAGAGGCAGAAAAAATGACTTATCATTGAAACCGATTTCCTGGTTTTCAGCTTTGATTATGTTCTACAGATGTATTTCAAATACTTAAAAAAAATGTCAACAACAAAAGCTGAGCATGGTGGCACATTATCTTTAATCCCTGTACTAGAAGCATCAGCAGGCTGTGAAATCAAGGCCAGCCTCCTCTACATAATAAGTTCCAGGCCAGCCAGGTCTACAAAGTGAGACCCATCTTTAAAAGAAGAAAAACAGCAAGAACACAATATTCATTCCTAAAATAAACGTCTTTATATATATAATATCCTTTATTAATATTCTATACAATGGCAAATACTTAGAAAGGTCTGAATTCTAACAAGCTGATCCAGCTAACCTGCTTGCTTGAGCATGTTTTCAGTTCCCCTGTGGGTCACACTGATGTTTTTGGTCCACTGGTTCAGTGTAGAGAGAGTTCTATTTCTTTTTCCTCTTCTTTGGTGGCTCATCATCAGAGCTGCTCTCTGTACTGTAACTGCTGCTACTGGAGGAGCTGGAGTCTGAATCTGAGTCGGAGGAGGAGGAAGAGGAGGAGGAGTAAACTGAGGAGGAGGAGCTAGAGGGGCTGTCTTCCGAGTCACTGTCCTCTGAGGAGGATGAGGCAGATGTCTCGCTCTCTGATGAAGACTCACTGGCCGAACTGTCACTGTTAGAGGTACTGGAACTCGTGACACTCTTCGACCTATTCAAGTTAAACAAAGCATGCGCACATGGAAAGCTGACATTTAACACAGTGCTTAAAAACCGATCATGCTGAGCTCCTGCACACTAGCCCTAGGCACAATCGATGTTAGGAGATTGCCTAACTGCTCTAACACATGCCTCCCCACTTTACAAGCTCTCTATCACTTCAGCAACTCTCTTGGATTTCACAAGGTATACCTCCCATACTATGTCACACTGAGCATGCTGGCACATGGCTATAATCCCAGGAGGTAGAGGCAGGAGGATCAGGAGTTCAGCTACATAGTAAGGTCCAGGTATATCTGTCTCACCCAAATATAAAGAAACAAAAGGAAGAGCAGGGCATGGTGGCTCAAGTCTGGAATCCTCGCACTCAAGAAGCTGAAGTAGAAGGATCACAAAGAGTTTGAGGCCAGCCTGGGCTACAGAGTGAGATCTAGTCTCAGAAAAATAAAACAGGGGCTAAAGAGAAGGCTCAGCATTTAGAAGCCTTACTGTTTTGTCAGGGGACTGGAATTCAGATCCCAGCACCCAATCTGGCAGCTCAAAAAACATCTTTAACTTCAGCTCCAAGGGATCCAATGCCCCCTCTGGCATCCAGATGCACCTCTATACACGTAAATAAAATAAATCTAAGCTGGGCGTTGTTAGTGCAAGCCTTTAATCCCAGCACTTGGGAGGCAGAGGCAGAGGTGAATCTCTGAGTTCGAGGCCAGCCTGGTCTGGCCAGAGTGACTTCCAGGATAGCCAAGCCTGTTTCGCAGAGAAACCCTGTCCTGAAAAACCAATAAACAAGCAAACAAGTAGATCTACAAATCAAAAGCAAAACCAAACAATAAAAAACAAACCAATAAACAAGCCAGGCATGGTGATCTCTGAGACGGAGGCTAGCCTGTTCTACATAGCCAGTTCCAAGCCAACCAAGACTATATATAGTAAGTGCAACCATGCCTAGACTTAACAGAAACTTTTTTTTCATTTATGTGTCCATTTATGTGGTATGTGTTTGTACACAATTGCATGCCAGTATGCATGTTTGTGTATGAAGAGCAGAGGTCAGCATCAGGTGTTCTCAATTGCTCTATACATTTCAGAGGCTGTAGCTGAACCTGGAGCTCACTGGTTCAGCTAGGCTGGATGCTCAGTGATTCACCAGGATCCACCCATCTCTAGCCCCGCTCCAGTACTGTGGTTGCAGGAACCGCCGATGCACCTCGCTATTTACACATGTGCATGGCAAGTACATTACATAACTGGGCCATTTTTCCAGTCCCCTCTAGCAAAATTTTGGTAAGATTTTATTGTGAGATCCAGAGGAGGAAATCATTTAGTATTTTCAGGTATAAGGATTCTAGAGCACTGTAGAAAAAGGAAAAAAAAATGGAGCTAATAAATTCCACAGAAGAAGAAAATATTAACAAAGACAGTTCCGTCCCAATCTTCCTCCCTCCAGGTAGTATCACCAAAAGCCACCTACCTCTTCTTCTTCTTGATCTTTTTCTCTACATTAGTCTCTCCCATGCTGAAGGACATAAGGGAAACAAAAGCTCCCATCAGTAAGAGTGACTTTACAATCCTCTGCTAGCCTCAGAACACTCTGCCTTCATTACATATGCTCAAGTGAACAGGATTTCTTGCTAGAATCAAGTGGAGTTTCCTGGGACAGGCTACACGCAGTACAGTCATGGCTGACTTAGAACATCTTATCTCATGTACATCAAAGCCAGTTAGTAGTTAAGATGACTGAACACACGGACTTGTTTCTTTTTTTTGTTTAGAACTTTAACTACTTACTGAACAAGGCAAACAACAGCACAATAGCTATAATCTGAGTTCCTAGAACTACACACGGTCATTTCACACTTTTACAAGAGCAAATTTAACCACAAGTTTAGTTATTGTTTAAACAAAAACAAACTCAAGACTGTATTCCCAAACATCATACAGAGCAATCTAGTGAGCTTGAGTGGAATGTACAGATGTGCAAAGCTCATATGTGTGAGCACACAAATAGGTTAATAGCTACCTTACTAGTAGAGATGGGAGGTTTAGATATGCTAATACTTGTGAAAAGCACAGTTAGTGTCTGACACAGGGTAGCCATTCATTAAAATCAGCCAATGCTTTTAGAAACTGGATTGGAGGTATACACCTGTAATCCCAGGACTCAGGGCACTGAGACAGGAGAACTTCAAATTTGAGACCAGCCTGAGCTACACAGTGAGACAATCTCCAAAACCCAAAATAAACAACAACAAAAAAACAAACCCCAGCTAGTATTATAATGAACCTTTCAGCCTCTAGTCAATTCTGTAAATATATGGGCAATTTCCTCTGGATACCATATGTAAACTTACCTTTGCTGCAATAATCTATTTTCCTTTTCTTTTAAAGCTTTCTTCAGCTCTGCAGTTCTTGAAGGCCTGTGTAGGTACTTTCTTTTTCCTGTGCATTCATATGTCCAATGTCCAAATTCCAAGCATTTCTGACATCTTACATGTTGCTTATTGGCTTCACTACAAAGAAAAAAACATAATACAAGCCTTAGAAGTTTTGTCTTGTGACACTTTCTGACCTGAAAAAGCATACAGTGATGTTTACTCTAACAGACACAGAAATAGTAGAGTAAGTGGATCAATGCATGCATCCTGGGGCTCAACAGAACAGATCTTGGCTCCTCTAAGCCCATCATGCTGTTTCATGCTTATAATTCTTCACTTTTCAGGAAGTAAATTAGGAAGTATGGCTGCAAGTTCAAAGTTAGCCTGAGCTAAAGACTGAGAGACCCTCTCTCAAGCAAAACAAACACATAAAAACAAGAATTAAGTTTTTCCACTCCAGTAATGATGCATTCGGACCAACTTTTTTTTTAGTTTTTTCCAGACAGGGTTTCTCTGTGTAGCTTTGGAGCCCATCCTAGAACTGGCTCTGTAGACCAGACCAGGCTGGCCTCGAACTCAGAGATCCATTTGCCTCCACCTCCAGAGAGCTGGATTAAAGGTGTGCACCACCACCATCAGGTTCAGGCCAACATTTTTAGTTCAGAATGCAAAGAATACAGATTTCTATTTTTCTTTTCTTTTTTTTCTTTTTCTTTTTCTTTTTTTTTTTTTTTTGTAGTGTTACATATTAAACCCAGGGCCTCCTTCATGCGCATGAAGCAAATGCTCTCTACCACTGAAGTAGACCCCTAACCCATTAAAACATTTTAAGGGTAAATTTTAAGGCAGGTAAGGGTGCTTCCTGTAAGCCTGAAGATCTGAATTGGATCCCTGATCTGTGTGGTGGAAGAAACAGAGAACTGACTTCAAGTTCCTCTGACCTCTATTCCTACACACACACACCCACACAAATTAATTCCCCCCAATAGGGTTTCTATATGTTAACAACCCTGGTTGTCCTAGAACTCACTTTGTAGACTAGGCTGGCCTCCAACTCAAAGTTCTGCCTGCCTCTGCTGTTGGAGGTTTTTGCTCTTTTTGGGGGCCTGCCACCCAACTCTCAAATAAATTCACATACAGAGGAGGCTTATTATAAATTATGAATGCCCGGCCTTAGCTTGTCTTAGTTTCTAGCGAGTTTTACTTATCTTAAATTATCCCGTCTACCTTTTGCCTCTGGGCTTTTCCCGTTCTCTAACTTTTGTAAATCTTACTCTTACTCCGTGGCTTGCTAGTTGTGAAGATAGGTAGCTGGCCCCTGGAGTCTTCCTCCTTCTCTGGCTCCTTCTCCTCCCCTCTTCCCAGATTTCTTCTCCTATATATCCTCTCTGTCTGCCAGCCCCACCTATCCTTTCTCCTGCCTTGCTATTGGCCAGTTCTTTATTAGACCATCAGGTGTTTTACATGGGCACAGTAACACAGCTTCACAGAGTTAAACAAATACAACATAAACAAAAGTAACACCTTAAAATAATATTCCACCGGGTGGTTGTGGCGCACGCCTTTAATCCCAGCACTCGGGAGGCAGAGGCAGGCGGATCTCTGAGTTCGAGGCCAGCCTGGACTACAGAGTGAGTTCCAGGAAAGGCGCAAAGCTACACAGAGACACCCTGTCTTGAAAAACCAAAAAAAAAAAAAAAAAAAAAAAAAATATTCCACAACGCTCTGCCTCCTGTGTGCTGGGATTAAAGGCATGTGTCGGGGCTGGAGAGATGACTCAGAGGTTAAGAGCACTGGCTGCTCTTTCAAAGGTTCTGTGTTCAGTTCTCAGCAACCACATGGTGGCTCACAACCATCTATAATGAGATCTGGTGCCCTCTTCTGGACTGCAGGCATACATGCAGGCAGAACACTGTATACATAATAAATAAGTAAATCTTAAAAAATAAATAAATAAATAAAGGCATGTGCCACCGCTGCCTGGCAAGCCTCCTGAAAACACTCAGATTTTTTTTCCTCCTCCTCCTCCTTCTTCCTCTTCTTCTTCGTCCTCCTCCTCCTCCTCCTCCTCCTCCTCCTCCTCCTCCTCCTCCTCTTCTTCTTGCAGACGGGGTATCATATGTAGCCCTGGATGGTCTGGAATTCACTATGTAGACCAGGCTGGCCTTGAACTCAGAGATCCACCTGCTTCTGCCTCCTGAGTGCTGGGATTAAAAGCATGATCCATGACATCTGGACCAATACCCAGGTTTTTAATCTAATAAATTACAGCTTAGGTGAAAAACAAGGACATTAAAAGCAATTGTGTAGCATGAATCTTAAAAGGTCTTATTAATAAAATCAAACCTGAAGCCAGGTATAGGGTTGAGTGCTGGAAGATCAGAGAGACAGAACCAGCCATAGATTCCTCACCTCGCCAATTACTCAGACGATCCTGTTTCCTCAGACTGGAAACCTCTGAGTCCTCATCTGAATGGATTTCAGCTGAACTGCTGCTAAAAGCCTAAAAGCTTAACCAGCCAAAAGCTTCTAGTTTCTGGTCCTCACGCCTTATACACCTTTCTGCTTTCTGCCATCACTTCCTGGGATTAAAGGCATGTGTCACCATGCCTGGCTGTTCCAGTGTGGCTTTGAACTCACAGAGATCCAGATAGATCTCTGCCTTCAGAATGCTAGGATTAAAGGTGTGTGTGCCACCATTTTCTGACCTCTATATCTAGTGGCTCTTCTGTTCTCTGACCCCAGATACGTTTATTAGCGTGCACAATATTTTGAGGAACACAGTATCACCACACAATTGGGTACTCAATCCATAAATAGTATTTTCCTTTCAGTTTCACATACCTTTTGGTAGGTTTGAGAAAACGAGCATACCACTGTCACATGGCCATACAAAGGGTAAGTGTAACATTGCTGGAGTCTTTTGTTTGATGATGATGTCTTGCCAGACTTGATGGTGCACGCCTCTAATCCCAGCACTCCAGAGGCAGAGACAGGCAGAGCTCTGCGAGTTCCAGGCCAGCCTTGTCTACAAAAGTGAATTCCAGGACAGCAGGACTGTTACACAGAGAAACTCTTGAAAAGCCATCTTGGGGGCTGGAGAGATGGCTCAGAGGTTAAGAGCACCAACTGATCTTCCAGAGGTCCTGAGTTCAATTCCCAGCACCCACATGGTGGCTCAAAACCATCTGTAATGAGATCTGGCACCCTCTTCTGTGTACATAATAAATAAATAATTCTTTAAAAAAAAAAAAGGAAAAAAAAAAGAAAAAAAGAAAAGCCATCTTGTCACTGAAATAGCCTAAGTCTAGAGCCAAAAGAACAAGTTTAAGAGAGAAAAGGGGTGAAATGAGACCCTAGTAACTTAATTTAGTACTCTTAAAATTAGGGTGTTTTTGTTGTTATTTGAGACAGGGTCTCAGTATGCAGCCATGAATGATCTGGAACTTGCTATGCAGATCAAGTTAACCTTGAACTAAGTGGAGGGATTAAAATCATGGGCTATAACACAACCCCCCCCCCACTTTTTTTTTTGGTTTTTTGAGACAGGGTTTCTCTGTGTAGTTTTGGTGCCTGTCCTGGATCTCGCTCTGTAGATCAGGCTGGTCTTGAACTCACAGAGATCCTCCTGGCTCTGCCTCCTGAGTACTGGGATTAAAGGTGTGCGCCACCACCCAGCTTCACCTGGGCGCTTATCTTTCCTTTTTCTTCCCTTCCTTTTTTTTTTTTTTTTTGAGACAGGATCCCATTTATCTTAAGGCTCACCTTGAATTAAATGAATTCCTGATCCTCTTGCATCCACCTCCCATATGCTGGGGATTAATCCCAAAACCATATGCTTGCTAGGCAAGCACTCTACCAACTGAACTACATCCCCAGCCCTCTTATTACATATTATCATCATCCCAGTTTTCCTCCAGACTTACTGCTCTGACTTTCCTTGCATTCAAGAAGTCTGATAAGGCCCTAGAAAGTAGATTGTATGGACAATGTATGTAGTGAGGAATGGGGCTCTTCCAATATAAAATATAAACAGTCAAGCTGGGCGGCAGTGGCACACGCCTTTAATCCCAGCACTCGGGAGACAGGGAGAGAAGCAGGTGGATCTCTGTGAGCTCAAGCCAATCTGGTCTACAGAACTAGTTCCACGATAGCCAGGGCTGTTACACAGAGAAACCCTGTCTTGAAGTATATAAAATACATACAGAAACAGCTACAAACACACACAATGTGTGCTAGCTACCTACGAACTACATACAAGCAAATGGTGATGGCACAAAATGCTGAGAATGAAGAAAAAAAAAAGACAGTTTGGCAAAACAAAGGCTCAACAGGTAGGGAAATGGCTCCAAGGCTGCAAGTATTTACCACCTGTTTGCTTTTTGAGACAGGATTTCCCTGTGTAACCCTGGCTGTTCTGGAACTAGCTCTGTATCTCAAGAAACCCACCTGTCTCTGCCTTCCTTAATACTGGGACTAAAGGCATGAGCTATCACAACCCAAAAGAATTTAGTTAAGAACTACAAGACGCCGGACGGTGGTGGCGCACGCCTTTAATCCCAGCACTCGGGAGGCAGAGCCAGGCGGATCTCTGTGAGTTCGAGGCCAGTCTGGGCTACCAAGTGAGTTCCAGGAGAGGCGCAAAGCTACACAGAGAAACCCTGTCTTGAAAAACCAAAAAAAAAAAAAAAAAAAGAACTACAAGACAACTACTGTGACCAAGGACAATAGATAGTGGAATAATAGGTTTGCTAAGTACAGATAACACAGGTTCATCTCAGATGAAGTCTTATGTTTAAATTATTACATTTTAAACTGGGCGATGGTGGCCCATTCCTCTAATCCCAGCATGGGGGAGGCAGAGGCAGGTGGATCTGAGTTAGAGGCCAGCCTGTTCTAGAGAGAGTTCCAGGACAGCCAGGGCTACACGGAAACACTCTGTCGAAAACAAAACAAAAAGAATGGGACCAAAGGAAGTTAAAGGACGAAGTGTTTGCCTGCTACAGACCATCAAGTTCCCGCAACAAAATTTTTATCAGATGAGAGAGATTCAATAAAGGTGGAAATGTATTAACCCTTAACGAGCTAACTACATTTTATAGGAGAAAAAAAATTCTCACAGCCTCAAAGCAATTACACAACTGTCTATCCTTTCTTTTCCGGAATCCTCTAGTGACTCGGTCTTTTCTACGCCTTTCAGTCTGTCTTCAAACGTCACCCTCCGCTAATGTATTTACAGTCCAACTAACTTGAAGAGGGCCTTGCCCTTTTTTTTTTTTTTTTCCATCACAGCCTCTTATTTCCCACAAAGCCTTTTAGACTACCAGCTGTACTTGTTCAGAGTGTCAACTGGTTCCACAATTAGACTGTAAGCCGCCTGTCTTGGAAACATTTTTCTTCACACTGAAACTCTTGGCATGGAGTGGTAGGTACTAAAAGAATTATTGACTGGAGGAGAGAACGGCAGAAAGTGAGACGGTAGATGAGAAATGAGTAGAGGCATTGTAGACAGGCTTGTTTCCAGGAAAGGCGATAGGAAGGAGACGGGGAATGCTGCAGAGGGACAAGCGGGAGAAGTTTGGGTGCCGGGGGGTGAAGGTTTGGGATCACGCATCCAGGCTACCCTTGACAAACGTGTGGGACGGACAGGGGAACATAAACCACCCAGCGAACACCTCTTGGATCCATTTCGGACGCTCCGGAACCCACTCAGTCCCGCAGCCCGCGCCAGCTCACTAGCGAGCGGACCGGCGTCTCCACACCCACAGCCCTCCCGCAGACCCCACTGGGCGTCTCTCTTACGCCTGTCTCCGCGCTATAAGTCGATGCATGGGAGTCGCCATCTTGGAGCTGCCGGAGGCCGCCGCACAGGCTTTTGGGAAACTCCGAAGGGTGGGGCGGGGCCTTCAACCCTCCGAGACGTGGGCGGAGCCAGACGGGCTGGCTCATCCCAACAGAGGTGATTGGTGACCACCGGCTGGTGTGTTTTATCTAATGTGGGCCTTGTGTTTAGTATGAATATGACTAGGGCCTTGAAGGGTGGAATGGTGTAGAGTTCAGGAAACCTGTAACCCCAGCATTCTGGAGGCTAAGGCAACAGGATTGCCATGTGTTCAAGGCCAACCTGGGAAACAGTAAGACCCTGACACAAAACAAAACCAACAAAAAAGCCGGACTTTGGTGGCCCACTCCTTTTATCTCAGCACTCTGGAGGCAGGGGCAGGCTGTTCTTTGTGAGTTGGAGGTCAGCCTGAGGTCTACAGAGCAAGTAAGTCCCAGGACAGCCAGGGCTATACACAAAAACCCTGTCTCAGCGCCGCCCACTCCCACCCCCGCCACCCCCCGCAAAAAAGCTAAAAACCACAAAAAATTAGAGGTGTGCATCAACGTGACTGGCTCATTCTGTCCGTTTGTTTTCTCCAAAGATATGTTTGGACCAGTATTTGTCGCAGTTTTTTATTAGATTTTTCTTTTTTTTTTTTTTTTTAAATGTGTATAAATGTTTTGCCTGCCTGCCTGCATGTGTGTGTGCATCACCTGTGCGCATGCCAGGTGCTGAGGTCAGAAGAGGGCATCAGATCCCCTGCAACGGGAGTTATGGGGATGGAGGTGAACGCACATCTTCTGCAAGATCAACAAGTACTCTTAATCACTGAGGCAGCTCTCCAGTCCCTATTTTTCATGTTTGTTTTTTTTTTTTTTTAAGATAATGTCTTTGGCCGGCCAGTGGTGGCACAGCACGCCTTTAATTCCAGCACTCAGGAAGCAGAGACAGGATGAGATTGAGGCCACTTTTGTCTACCGAGTACCAGGACAGCCAAGGCTACACAGAGAAACCCTGTCTGGAAAAACAAAACAAACAAAAATAGTTTCCATTTACTCTAAGAGTTGAGTTACTGTTTTTAAATCTGTTTCGTAGAGCCTGACCTGCCCCCCAACCCATGACCTGGGTGATCACATGGGTCTTGGTGAGTCCAAAGTGTTGTACCTAATTCACTTTCTATCTTAACTTGCATTACCAACCCAAAACTATCTTTTTATGTCTCTCAACACCTCTTTTGTGAGTTTCTTTTCTGAATTTGTTAAAAAGGAAAACTCTATAAAGTCTTCAACTCCATCAGAGACCTGAGGATATGATATTACCTGAGTAAACAGGAAGTATAGAGCAAACAACTTCCAAAAATAAGAAATGACAGAAATAGCTGGCTGCCTGGACAGTCACCCAAGGTTCCTCTGCAACGTTGGGGCATCCATCTGGTACAACACTTTGGACTCACCAAGATAGGATGACAATGGAATATTTTCCCTGAATTTGTCAATGCTAATGGACTAGACATTGCTAATGTTAATTATTGCCTGTATATATTTGTATATAGTTATTGTATTTTTTGTATATAGTTTTTCTATGTTAGTTAAAAACCTTCACTTTTTATTTAGACACATGTTTTTTTTTGAGATGTTTTCTTATTGCCCCATTGTCTCTCTTCTGTAAACCTGTTTTACAACTACTTGTGATTTTATTCCTTAAAAAGGACCTAAGAAATGGATTCCAGGCTGCTCTCTTTAACGCTTTAGGAGGCAGTTGCTGGCCTGCTCTTGTATGAACCCCAATAAGATCAAGCATGCCTCAAATTTGGTTCAAAATTGTGGTAGTGTTCTTATACTAGATGGGATTAACAACACCTGTTTTCCCAGCACTTGGAAGGTAGAGGCATGAGGATCAGAAGTTCAAGGTCATCCTTAGTTATAAAATGACATTGAAGCTACCTCTGGGTTATATAAGACACTGTCTAAGGAAAAAAATTAATAAAGCAGGGCACTGGTGATGCAGGCCTTTAATCTCAGTACTTCAGAGACAGAGCCACACAGATCTTTGAGTTTGAGGCCATCCTGTTCTACAGAGTGAATCCCAGGACAGCCAGGGCTGCTACACAAAGAAACCCTGTCTTGAAAAGCCAAAAATAAAAATTGAAAAAAAAAAAAAAAAAAAAAAAGGTCCTGATGGCACAAGCCTTTAATCCCAGCACTCAGGGAGCAAGGGCTGGCGGATCTCTGTGAGTTTAATGTCAGCCTGGTCTGTAGGGGAAAAGGGTCAGGGAAAGAACACCCATAGGAAAAGTACCATGCCCCTGGCTTCACCCAGAGATTGGAGAGTTGGAAATCCAGGGTGAACAGCCGACCAATGTTTCCTATCATGGGATACTTCCCCACTAAACTCACTGTGCATCCTCTAAAAACCCTATAAAAGCCTTCCCCCTCTGCCCAGCCCTGTGCTGTCTGTCTGCCTATTCAGAGGCAGCTGCCATGTTGTTCTTCTCCCCAATAAATCTCTTGTGTGAATTTTGTAGTATGGTGCGACTTTGTGGTATTCCTTGGCTCCTGACTGCCAAGATGCCCTTGCCCAGGGGAAAACTCTTACATGGTCTACATAGTGAGTTCCAGGACAGCCAGAGTAACATAGTGAGATCTTGCCTCAAAAATAAATAAGTGATAAAAAGATGTGTGAGGGCAAGTCATTCTACTGTTTCTAGAGTTTAGGACCAGCCTATTCCCTCAAGGTTGACAGCATAGTTTTAAAATGGCTATTTTGACCCTATCATTCTTTTTTACAACTGGTTGCTGTAACTTCAAGAAACCTCATCAATGTAACTGGTAAACTGGACCCTTAATCCAAATCAAATATTTGCTGTGGCATCATTTGGACCCTTTTCTAGCAGCAGAAGAATAGCTGAGTGAACTTTTGTTTTGTAAAGAGCAGCGGCCACAGGCTGGGGAGAGTTCTTTTTTTTTTTTTTTTTTTTTTTGGTTTTTCGAGACAGGGTTTCTCTGTGCAGCTTTGCGCCTTTCCTGGGACTCACTTGGTAGCCCAGGCTGGCCTCGAACTCACAGAGATCCGCCTGGCTCTGCCTCCCGAGTGCTGGGATTAAAGGCATGCGCCACCACTGCCCGGCCCTTTTGTTTTTTTTTTTGTTTTTTTTTTAAATTTCTTTAATTTACATTGGTGTGAGGGTGTCAGGTCCCCTGGAACTGAGTTACAGACAGTGGTGAGCTGCCATGTGGGTGCTGGGAATTGAACCCAGGTCCTCTGGAAGAGCAGCCAGTGCTCTTAACCACTGAACCATCTCTCCAGCCCCCTGGGGAGAATTCTTAAAGGCTAAAGACACCTGCTGCCAACAAACCTTACCTGAGGTTGACTCCTGATTGGTGGAAGGAGAGATCTGACTCCTACAAATTGCCCTCTGACCTCCACAAGCATACTATGCATGACACTTATAAATAAAATATAAAAACATTAAATAAAGTAAAATAATATAAATAAAATTTGTTTACACAAATAAATAAACTATTAATTAATTGATTGATTAATTATAGAACAGTGGTAGGCAAGAGGAACATGGGCCTTAGGACATGAAGGAGGCTCTCTGGGTTGAAGAGGTAAGAGTGGGAGCAGAAACTCCCTGGGGTGAAAGTGAGACCATGCTTTAGTCACTTTACTTCCTTCCTTGTTTTATTTTATTTGAGACAGGGTCTCACTCTGTAGCCTTTGCTGGCCTGGAACTCACGGAGACCTGTGTGCTTCTGCTTCCTGAGTGCTGGATTAAAGGCATGCACAACCATTCCTGGCTTCCCACTTTCTAAGAGAGCCTTGGAGACAAAATACACAAAAGATTATGAGCAAGTCTCTTTAGATGCAGCTGCTCATGCTCTTCAGAGTCCTTAAGTTATAATACTCCCTTTTTGGCAAGCAGGAACTTTCCTCTAGTCTCTTGAGGGGATAGGGGCTTTTGTCTAAATGTCTGGCCTAGGGGAAAGGACTTTCTTTGTAATTGTGAACTCAGGATGAGCAGGTTCCTTCTCTGCAGGTTTAAACTTGGGGAGTCTCACTATGCAACCCAGGCTGGCCTGGAACTCACATCTAGATTAGGCTGTCCTTGAACTCCTGGATGATTCACTTGTCTCTGCCTCCCACTCTGAAGTGCTAGGATTACAGGCATGAGCCATTATAGTTGGTTTTGTGTTTGTTTGTTTTTTGGAACAGGGTCTCTTTACCTATCTCTGCTGGCCTGGAACTCCCGGAGATCCTCCTGCCTCTGTCTTCTGAGTGCTAGGTTAAAGGTGTGTGTCACCATCACACTTGTTTTTTGTTTTTATTAATCATTTTATTTTGTTCACTTTTTTGGTTTTGTTTATTTTTCATTCATTTTATTTATTTTTTATATAGGTGTTTTGCGTGCATGTATGTCTGTGTACAACATGTGTACAATGCTTTTAGAGACCAGAAAAAGATGTTGGATCCTTTGGAACTAAAGTTATACAGAGTTGTGTAACATTCAGGTGTTTGGAATGGAACCCTGGTAATTTGGAAGAGTAGCCAGTGCTCTCAAGTGCTGAGCCATCTCTCTGTCCTTGTTTTGTTTTCTTTAGAGATTTATACACAGTGGTGGCACACACCTTAATCCCAGAACTTGGGAGGCAGAGGTAGGAGAAAATCTATGTGAGTTCAAGGCCAGCCTAGTCTACAGATCAAGTTGCAGGACAGTCAGGGCTATACAGAGAAGCCCTGTCTGGAAAGGGGGGAAAAAAAAGGAAAAAATATAATTAATTGATTAGCTAATTAATTAATTTTCAGTAGAGGGAATTTAGATCTATTAAAGAAAAGTGAGAAGGAATTCCCAAGAGTAGAAGAGATCCCAAGGGAGGAACAATTTACTTTGAGATGGGCATGAAATGTAGCCATGGTTGACCTTGAACTCAACAATATTCCTGCCCAAAGTCTTTGAAGTATTGGGGTTACAGAAGTGAACCTCCATGCCTGGCTTATTTTATTTATTTAATTTGTAATTTTAAAGATAGGATATTATGTATCCCTGGCTGGCCTCAAACTCAGTACATAG